CAAATCTATACACACGGAAATATCACGATATAAAAATATTCATTTGCTAACCAAGTATCTTGAACAATTCAAAAATCCTTAAACTCTAGCAAAACTATTATTAATGGGATAATGGCTCGTAAAAATTCAAATGTGAAATAGGACATAAACTTACAATTGCTCTTAGACATATACAACTAATATACAATTATCATACATTTGGTATACAATTTCTGCAACAATTATGATCCAAATATAATTATGATACAATCGTGATACAATTCTGAAAAATTGTGATATAGTTCTGATCTTCATCTTCTTCAAGTTTCAATCACAACTCTAAACTTAAAGTCTGATACAATATTATATCATAGTTGTATTAGCATTGTATCAGGTGTTGTTTTAGGTATTGATGTATCACATACAACTTTGATACAATTGTGATATAATTATGAAATAAATCTAGTACAATTATGATACAATTATCATACAATCGTAATACAATTCGAAAACTACTTTTCTTCTTCGAGTTTCGATATAGTTTTACCTAAAGCCAACTCTAAAATTAACCAATCTCCCTCAAAATTGATATATAAATTCAAAATTATATTCTCAATTGTTTGCAAGAACACCCAATTCAAAACAATTCACAAAATTCATAAAACCCTAATATTGATACAATTGTGATACAATTATCATACAATCATGATACAGTTCTGAAACTTCTTCTTTTTTCAAGTTTCAATCTGAAATTTTACCTAAAAATAAATCTAAACTTAACCAATCTCCCTCAAAATTGAGATATAAACTCCAAGGTATATTCTCAATCGTTTGCAAGAACACACAATCTAAACAAATCACAAATTCGTAAAATCCAAATATTGAATTCAAAGTTTTTTAATGGTTGTCAATGGAGAATACTTTGTTGCTACAATTTTGGAAATAATGTTCATGGAATTGTGTGAAGAGGGAGAGATTTGGGTTGATTTGTATGAAGATTAAGAATTTTTTTGAAATCTTTATGAAAATGGGATGCAACGTGATTTAGGGGCTTTGTATATATACGAGGGTTGGGGTGGGGTGGGGGGGGGAGTAACGTGGGATGGGGAAAGGGGCTATTTCAGTTACATCCTAATTTTAAGGGATACTCTCTTTATTAAGGTTTTGTATATAAGTAAATATAGATAGAGAATATAATTTTTAAGAAACCTATAGAAAAATGGTAAATAAGTTTCTATTATAGTATAACTAGGTAAATTTCTCCAGTTGTTGTTCTCAAAGCATACCTTTCTCAGCCTTTTGGCTAAGATCAAGTGAAGTATCTATTCTTATCAGTTTAATATCTGATATGTGGGCCATCGGCTCACACGATATTAACTTAATTTTTTAATGGAGGGAGTCATTAAGGTAGCTTGCTACTTGGGTTCTCGAGCGTCGCTCATGCGTTGCACTATTGTACGGGCCTGGCGCACCCCACCAAGTCCAATCCAATATTTTATTTTGGGCCTTGCTGCTTCTGTCTTGGTCCCAACCGTGTTTAATTGCTTATTCCCTCGGTTATTCTACTTGAAATTTTATCAGATGTCCTTTTAATGTGTAATTTCTCCTTTTATAAAATTCTCTTTATGCAAAAATGTAATTTGTAAAGGATTTAAGATTAACCAAATATCTCCTTTGCAAAAATGTGCAGTAATTTATTCTATTATAAGGTGTGCAAAAATTATCTCATAGATTAATTGAATTCTGTTGTCCAATTTAAATTAATTGAATTGGAAAATAATGTATGTACGTTGTTATTGTTGTGTTCTGTGTTGTTGGTGTTATTTTGAATTTGGAGGAAGTAAAGATTATAAGGAAGATGCTGCCGGTTTTAATATAAAATAAGCCTATCGTTCGCTATGCGATAGTTGTATATTTCGTAAATTAATGATAGTATTATTGTCGTTGTTGTAGATTAAGGTGAAAAGAGACGAGTTCAAAGTGGTTACTGGAAAGATTGTGATAAGGTATGTTAAGGCTAAACATTTCCTTTATTTTAGCATGATCTCGTAACTGCATGTGTTTGATAACGAGACATAAAGAGAAGTTCGTATTCCTGAGTTTATTCACATTATCCTAGTCTCAGAATTTACAGTATTCTCCCTTATATTCAGTTAAGTATTATCTTTTTTCAGTCAAGAAGGTATAGGGTCTATATATATACAGTATTACAGTATTTCCACCACCACCGAGCTATAATTGGTGGGCAGGCCCCTATTGGAAAACTTCTAATCAGATGGTACGTTACATACCGAGCCTACTGTGGCCGAGCGCCTATGAGCGAGCCCAGAATGGCCGAGATACCGAGCCTAGTATGGCCGGGCGCCTATGAACGAGCCTACTACGGCTGAGCAGTTACACGTCCTGAGCCTTACAGGGTCGGACAGCTATTTTACTTACTATATTGAGAGACTTGAGTCAGTATCAACACGTAAGTATATCTCCAGATCATCCTTGACTCCCAGTTACTTTTAGTTATTATATTATCAGTTTAGTTTCATATTTCAATATTCTATTGCTTTACATACTCGGTACATTATTTCGTAGACGTCCCATTCCTGGGGACTCTATATTTCATGCATGCATGTTCGGATAGACAGATTGGTAAAACTCCTGTAGGTGTTGTCCTTGATCAGCTTGATGGGTAAGCTCCATGTCCTTCGGAGTTTCCGGGTCTAGGTTTTTGAGTACATATTGTGTATGTATGTATATATATTATGGGTAGGTCGGGGCCTTGTTCCGACCACAGTACATCTATCAGTAGAGGCTTGTAGACATATCCTGCCAGTTAGTGTAGTATGTTGGGCTTGTAGGCCTTGTATGTATATTTTTGTTGGTTTGTCAGCTGCAGTAGTTATGACGGCCTTGTCGACCCAACTTTATAATGATGTTCAGTCAGAGCTAGTTTTCGATCAGTTTTATATTTTGTTTCACAAATTGTCTTTCAACGTGGCCCTATGGCCAAAGTATGACATTGTATGTTCAGAGTCCCTCAGTCGCTAGTTGGTACGCTAGGTTAAGTGAGGCACCGGGTGCTAGTCTCGCCCTCCAGGTCGGGGGCATGACAAACTTGGTATCAGAGAAGTTCTGTCCTAGAGAGTCTACAAGCCGTGTCTAGTAGGGTCTTGTTTATAGATGTGTTGTGCACCACATTACATAAGCACGGAACTACAGGACATTTAGGAGTTGGTTACCATTCTTTCAAATCTAAACTGTGTTGTAGAACTGAGTTATAAGAAATTTTAGTTAAACTTACGTATTGGTGTTTGCATACAGAGACGACGGTGAGTAGGAAGACTACGACTAGTAGACATACAACAGCAGGTGAGGGGACCAGCAGGCTACCCCCAGTAGATGGGGCCCAGTCTGAGGCCCAGGGCGAGACCCCTACTCAGCCACTGCCGGCTCCTCCACCACCTGAGGAGATTTCTAGGGATACAGCACATCCAGTTCCCCCTCCACTTCTATCAGATCAGGACTTGAGGAGTGCAGTGCATTTGTTGACATAGTTGGTAGCTACCCAGCAACAGGCTAGGGCATCAGCTAGTGCATGTTCTTCTGAGGGGTCTGGGAGTTCAAGGGGAATTACTGGTTTGCGAGTTATTGCATAGTGAAGCAAGTTAGTCGCACCCGAAGGGTAACGACTGCGGGTTTATAAAGTTAAGTAATTACAAATAGGGGTGTTCATGATTCAATTTGGTCGATTTTCCTTTAAAAGAAACCAAACCAATTAAGTCGCCTTTTCAAATATTAGAACCAAACCAATTCAAATAACTCGTTTTTTTATAGGTTCGGTTTTATGTAGGTTTTAGTTGGTTTTTCGTTTATTTCGGCTTATTTTCTTAAATATGAGACATTTGCCAAGTATATAATCCGGCAACTATATTCTAACACAACACTCGCCAATTATTCTTTAAGAAAAGTTATCATTTACTAAGATATAGTGATAATATATATTGAATTAAATAGTGATAAAAAATTTATGGACTCAATTAAAGACAAGTTATTTTTAACGTGAAATAGATTACCGAGCTTAGCAAAATCAAATTACCATCAAGCTAGAATATAAATGCAAAGAACCCGGTTATTGTACGGGGTAAAATTAGTTTATAATAAATGGTCAAATGATAGCATAACACTTGGAACCGTAGGCAGACAAAAGGCGAGTCAAGTAACAATCAATACCGGATACAACAACTGCAATCGACATCGGGCAAATCACGAGGTGAGCATGGTCAACGGGAGTAGATCGAGTATTTACCATCGGATAGTATTCAATGAGAGAATATTCTCCCTTGCATTCACTGCCATTACATATTTATCAATGACTCCTTTATCGTCATTTAAGTGGAGATTGATCTTAGGATCTTGTTTCCCTAGGTATAGCTATAAATAGCAGGCTCAGCAACCATTATAAGGGATGAAAATTCTTGGAAAACACAAGTTGTACTTTACTTTTGCTCTCAATTAAACAACATTGCTCATTCTTTATCATTGCTTTTATTTTTTGTCCTCGGAGGCATTGCGCTCAGAGCCGGGCTTCTTATCTTTATCAATTTCAATTACTAAATCTTATTCTTAGTCTTATTTCATTATTGTTTCTGGATCAAATCATTTCGCTTGTCTATAACCCACATAATAAATTTAAATGTACCATTTTAGGGGTAAACAATTATCATAATAACAAAGAACTAGACTACCAACTAATAGTGCAAACTATTAAATCTACCATGAAATTATATATATATATATATATATATATATATATATATATATATAAACTAAAACCAAACCAAATTTGATCGGCTATTAAAATTCAAAATCAAAACTAAATCAAACAAAGATATTATCTGTTTTGTTTTTTGTGTCAGTTTAATTTAGTTTTCGGTTTGATTTGAATTTTCATTTTTCACGAAACCCCTAACTACAAACTTAAGATCAAAGAGTACAAGTCTTAATGGTGGGCAACAAATAAACTTCTTTCTGAGAACATATAGTCATGTATAAAATCATCTATTGTTAATCCTAGCCAACTTTATACTCCTTGAACTTGTACTCATGATTTGGATAGATTCTTTCTTTCGTTTCTCTTGTTAAAACTACAGATACATTATTTATAAGTAAAGAACTTGTACAATACTTTCTAAAATTTGAACAGAAAATGCAAAGGAGAATTACCAAAGAATGAGAAGTGGACATGAAACTTCCATATTGAATTGAATCAGCTCCAAAGTTCCAATTTTTCCTTTGTTCCATGACGGAGAGCAGCTTCCAGAAATACAATGTTGAAAATCCTCCTGCAACCATTGTACCAAAACTCATTTCCCCCTTCTTCTTACGCACCTATTTTCCAGTACTTGATTGCCAAGAATTGCCTCAAACTTGGCCAACAAGTTCACGCTCACTTGGCCGTTCGAGGGATTTATCCCAATGGATTAGTCGCAGCGAAAATGGTCGCTATGTATGCCAGCTCCGGTGAAATCGACTCCGCCTCACGTATTTTCGATAATGCCACTGAACACTCTTCGCTTCTGTATAATGCCATGATTCGAGCACTTACCCTTTATGGGCTTACCGAAAGAACAATACAGATTTACTTCCAAATGCATTCTTTGGGTTTGCGTGGTGACAATTTTACTTTTCCCTTTGTGTTTAAGTCATGTGCTGACTTGTGTGATATTTGGTTGGGGAAATGTGTTCATGGCTCAATATTGAGATGTGGGTTCGTGTTTGATATTTATGTTGGCACTTCTTTGATTGATATGTACGTTAAGTGTGGTGATTTGATTGAGGCTCGTAAACAGTTTGATGAAATGCCCGTGAGAGATGTATCGTCTTGGAATGCATTAATTGCTGGTTATATGAAGGATGGGTTATTCAAATACGCTGAGGAGTTGTTTGAGAAAATGCCAACTCGGAATATAGTGTCGTGGACAGCAATGATTTCTGGATATGCTCAGAATGGTTTAGCTGATAAGTCGCTGCGATTGTTTGATAAGATGTTGGATCGTGACTCGGAGGTGAGGCCTAATTGGGTGACGATTATGAGTGTCTTACCTGCATGTGTGCATTCTGCTGAACTAGAACGTGGGAGGAAGATACATAGTTTTGCTAGAGAGACCGGATTGGAGAAGAATCCTTCGGTGCAAACAGCTCTTATAGCCATGTATGCGAAATGTGGCAGTCTGGTTGATGCTCGTTTGTGTTTCGATCAGATGAACCAGAAGGAGAAGAAGTTGGTTGCTTGGAATACAATGATTTCTGCTTACGCATCCCATGGTTGTGGGCAGGAAGCTATTTCAACGTTTGAGGATATGATACGAGCTGGTGTACAGCCTGATGGAATTACATTTACAGGCTTGTTATCAGGTTGCAGCCACTCGGGTCTTGTGGATGTTGGACTAAGATATTTTGATTGTATGAGTTCCGTTTACTTTGTGGAGCCGGGACATGATCATTATGCTTGTGTGGTTGATCTTCTTGGTCGTGCTGGACGATTGGTGGATGCATATAACCTCATTTCTCAAATGCCAATGGCAGCAGGACCAAGCATTTGGGGTTCGTTATTAGCTGCTGGTCGAAGCCATCGCAACTTAGAAATTGCAGAATTAGCAGCTAAAAAGTTATTTATCTTGGAACCAGACAACAGTGGGAATTATGTGGTGCTCTCAAATATGTATGCAGAAGCTGGGATGTGGGAGGAAGTGAACGACTTGAGGATCCAACTGAAATCACAGCGTATTATGAAGAATCCCGGATGTAGTTGGATTGAATTTGAAGGAAAGGCCCATTTATTCCTTGGAGGAGATACATCTCATCCACAGGCAGAACAAATATACATGTTTTTAGAGGCACTGCCTGCCAAGATAAGAGCGGCTGGTTACATTCCAGATACTACTTTTGCTTTGCATGATGTGAGTGAAGAGGAGAAAGAGCAAAATCTGAGTAGTCACAGTGAGAGGCTGGCCATTGCCTTTGGCATTCTTAATACAAGCCCAGATACAGTTCTCCGAGTGACAAAGAATCTTAGAATCTGTGGAGACTGTCATACTGTTATAAAACTTATCTCAAAAATATATGAAAGAGAGATCATTGTAAGGGATGTGAATCGGTTTCATCATTTCAAAGATGGGTGCTGTTCCTGCAGAGACTACTGGTGACCGAAAAAGAAGATGTAGTTTATTGATACCTCTAATTTATCTGTTCAAGAGTCAGGATCAATTAACAAACTCAGTCCAGGAATTCCTGAAGTTTCTATGAATGACCATGTCCAAGGCTACCAACTGTAAGATCTACCTTGTTCACTGTCCAGGCTTGGGAGGAAATGATTAAAACCACAGTGGCAATGAATTTATTTGTAACAAGCTGTCTCCTCACTGAACTATCATCATTGCTGAATAACAAGCCTCAAGATGGTGGTTTGTTTTATGGAGATTTTTGATGTTTGAGGGTGAAGTATCCTTCCTGGAGAAGCCATTTAAAATCTCACAACTGTGGTGGGAGAAGATAGACTTTATCGTAGTTTATCGTATATCAAGTTTGAAATCGCCATTGTTGCTGAGAACCAATATTAGGAACCTGATCTCGAGGATGTTATTCACTGTCACAAGAAGCTCCATACAGCAAGAGCCAATAAACCATTAGACCTGGTCTTCTGGCCTTGCGGTATAGTAATGCTCTTGGTTACCTCAAGAAAAGAGAGAGGTTGAACGTCTTCGAATCAATTTGTTAACCAACATATTGTACTTACTATAAGTATTAAATTCAACAATTCCTCAAAATGAAAAAGATTATATGGAATGTTCATTAAGTTACCGGAAATATGAGAATGCAAGTCCGCAGGAACTGAATTTTGTTTAAGCTTTTGAAGGTTTTGACTATCATTGAGTATTGCTTCCTAACATATGCTATTGTACATGAACTGTACTCTTCCTTGGATGCTTTTATCTTACTATCATCTTCACCTGTCCCAAAAACTAGAATGTGCATTGTAGCCAATGTCTTATTCCTACAAGTGATCAAGTATAATACAAGCGAAATACCAAAAGGTTATTGGACTTGAAACTAGGGTTGTGCATGGATCGATCGGATCGAATTTAGCACATTTCGGATTCGGATTTCGGATTTCGGATTCTACAAAATGCAATCTGAATCCGATCTGAATTAATATCGGATCAGATCGGATCGGATTTTAAAGTTTGGATCGGATCAATATTTCGGATTTCGGATCGGAGTATACATATATTAAGGCTATTGATAATCTAATCAGCTAATGCATCTGCCTTATCTGCTTCTTCTGTGTTATGTGCTAATACAAACATCTCTTTACTTTTCATCCCTATTATCAGCATTGCATCTCTAAGAAAATATTTATCTGGAGGTTCGAATTGTTATGCCTCAAAGTTGCAAATTCATACGTATATTTTCTTTGTAAGAGGCAATACAACAAGAAAATTCATGTTTCTGCAATTATGAGGGTACTATGGTTTATCTGGAGGTTCGAATTGTTATGCCTCAAAGTTGCAAACTCATACGTATATTTTCTTTGTAAAAGAGGCAATACAACAAGAAAAATTCATGTTTCTGCAATTATGAGTGTACTATGGTGCCAATATAGCTAAATCCAGCAATTGTAAAGGTAATAACTTGGAGGAAGATGTAAAGAAAGTACTAACTATCCGAAATTAAAGTTTAGTACATAATCCGAATCCGATTGATCATACCCTTTCAAACATGGAACACCATACCTGGTTGAACGGTAGAAAGCGTGTGTTTAACACAAAATTCATAAAGTGAAAAGTTGCTCCTGGGGGTGAGAGAGGCTCGAACTCTCGACCTCAAGATTACTCAGAAGCTATGAGACCTACGCGCTAGCTAACTGCGCCACCACCCCGTTGCTGGTAAGAGTACAAAATAAACTTAATATAGGTTTTATCCGTAGCTATCTAGTTACCATAGTTTAGGGAGTTCAATTCACAAAGAAAAAATAAAACGCGTGCAAAGACAGAAAGCTGAGCACTTTCGTGGGAATTTCTGATTGAAGTACTAAAGGTAGCACAAGTCTAGTCAAATAAAGGTCCAAAAGTATGAATTTATTTTTTAAAATGCTACTATATTTTTTGACAAAAGAAACAAAGTACTTTTCCTTACTCCAATAAAAATTGCAATTTAGTAGAGTCATATTCAACCTCGTGTTTTTGCTCTTTGGCTAATAATCACTTGGGATAAGGTGGTCTACCATATGATTGTATTAGACTTGAAGTTCTTGGAATGTTAGCTAATTGGTACTCAGACCAGAACGGTGGAAACTCTCCCAGATTCCTCTGTTCTACCTATCCAAAGTAATAATTTGCTGGACGTTTAAGAAGTTTACCGAGAAAGAATAATCTGTCAGAAAATTCAAATTCTTATTACCACTACTTAGCATAAAACTAGTTTAAAGGTTAAATGGTTCATTCACCCTACTTCATATGAGTCAGGTCTCATTTTCTTATTTCTTCTTTTTCAGTATTGATTCTCATGTGCTCTTTTGCCTTGTGATTTGCAACGAAATTGGGATCACCAATCTGACCATTGCACGTTTGATTCAAAGTAACCAACAACTAATGACTAATTTATGCTGCTGGCACGGCTCACGGCTGAGACATAATCTACATGGCACAAAACTTACTTTTATACATTAACATGTGACTTGTATACACTGATAAAAAGTATGAATCTTTCTTTCGGATGCACAAGAAAGAACCAGATTAATTATTCTAGAGACTTGTTTTAGCCTTCCTATCTGTTTACAGTAAAATAAAGAGTTTCTGTCAATGAAATGCAAGCACTCCCTTCAACGTGATTCCTCAACAGGGACACTTGAATAAGTACAAGTGTAACTCTCCACTTCTGCTCCACTTTCTTTTGCTTTACTCCAAGATATTCTCCAACTTTGATATAAACTGATCCTGTGGGAGAGTGAAATCGGATCATGTAATGACAGTGCAAGCTGAAAGTAAGGGGGGGGGGGGGGGGGGGAGAGACAGCTGTACCTATTTGTTTCAGTGTCCCTTTTGGCAAGCATTAATGTCAAGAAGACAGGCACCATTGCAGCACATAAATGTTTGAGCGTGTGGCCACTGACGATGTGATGAGTCCAGTTGTAGATTGGCTTATCCGCTGCTTCTTCAATCTTAGCTAAAAGATAAAATCCTGCATTATGCAGAAAAATCTCACTTTATATAGGCACAAAGTGCTGCAGGAACAAGGTCACAGAACCCAGAGAAGAAGAAATTCATACCTGCAGCCCACAACCAATAAGTGGAATGAGTGTACATTGGAGGTAACAAGATAGCCATGACTGGGATGGCTAGGCACGGTACAAACTGAACTACCGCATAAGGACGGAGATCCTCAAAGAACCTTCAGAAGGAAAATGTACAATCACAAAGCTGTTTTAGCTGAAAAAGCCAAATGATGATCAAGAGAAATAACAGTAATTAATTATGGATCTAGACCATCCACTCCCCTCTAGCACCATGGGCAAATTATAAAGGGTGGTCAAGTGACCACCCTTCATCGGAAAATTACACTGCGTATATAGGTAAAATATTAGATTTTAAAAGTATATAACATATGTTGAACACTCTTTCTCGGAGAATTTTTTTCATTTCAAGTTTGAACACCCTTGAGTAAATTCCTGACTTCGCCACCGTCTAGCACCCTTAAAAAATGAAAATGCAAGAAAAACAAAAGCACATCCAATATGTTATACTTTCTTATAAATCAAAACCAGCACTCAATATTGGACAGTAGGCTCAAAGAAGCTCAATAATCTTTGTAATCCTAGCTCCAGCCTACTGCAAAGCTGAAACTCAAGGAAGATAGCTGGTTCCTCTTAAAGACACCTTCCCTGGGCTCTATAGTCCTACAATCGGTAAGGACAGCACAATCGGAAGAGTAGATAGGAAATAGTAGTAACATTGAGTCCAGAAGGAGTTTACATGACGGGGTTTGAAAGGGTCGTACAATTTTTTGGAAAGCTGGCAGAGGCTAAGAAGTTGAAGGGAGGAGTAGATTCTCTAATCTCTCTTAATGGAAGCGAGAAAAGCAGGTAAATTTTCAGTAAGGTAATGCTCTAGTGTCCTGATATCTCAGTTATGAGGGAACTTGGAAATAGATATTCAAAAGTAAACTCCTGAAAGTGGCTTGCTCTACTGGAATAATCACGTATAAACTATTGAAAAGGAGCTTCAGTATGTGCAGTAGATATTTACATGTGCAAAAGCTTGATGAGAACTTGAGGCATCTGATTTTGCATTGTTCTTTCAAGTGGAAGTTATGGTGTTTGTTTATGAACCTTTTTGGTGTCACAATGGGTGATGCCTAAGGATGTTAAAGGCACTACACATCATAAGGAAATCATTGAAAGAAACATGGATGATAGTACCCATATGCATTCTATGGATTATCTAGAAAGGAAATACAAGTGCTTTGAAGGAAGATCTTAAGCTAAATTAAGTGTAAAATATAGAACACTAAAGATGATTTTAACACTGCTGAATTTGGTAACTCCTTACATGCTTGGTAGGCTAGTAATATGTAACTTGGTAATTGTCAATACCCACTAGGTGTCCTTTGTGAGAAAAATAATTGTCTAACTTATCTAGAAAGAAAGAAAAGAAAAGAAAGAAGAGAGAGAAAAAAAAAAGGAGAGGACCCAAAGAGCATATATCCAGGGAAACACTTTGCGTTTCTTCCACTATTCCTGCTTCTTTTTTCTTTTAGAAGAAATTAATGGTGGGAGTGGGGAGGGGTAGGAGTTTATTAGCAACTGTAGAAAATAGAAGCTTACCTCCAATACATGATACTAATTACACCAGCCAGAAGCAATGGAATGAGAGACAAAGTTCCCTTTCTTTCATCTATTCTTTCAATAATAAAGATAGCTACGATAGAAGTAAATGCCACAGTCATCTGCAAAGTTGGAGAGTATCAAAAACAAGCACACAAAAGAAATTTTAGTTAATAACAGCTTGCACTTAACAGTAAATACTTAAATAACTTACTGGCAATCTATCCCACACAAGAGTAGCATCATTTGGGTTGAGATGATAGTATGAGGACCCAAAAGCAACGGCTGCTACACCAATATAGAAACATGTCCAACCCCAAAGCTCTCCTTGCAAGCTTTTGAAGCACATATCAAGTGGAATTAGTTTGAAGTACTGGACATATAAACTTCAAAGCCTTAACCATACGTAGAGCAGATACTTGTAAACAGTTTACCTCAGCTTGAAATAGTTACCGTGGTGACAAAGTACAAGACCTATTAGACCGATCACAAGGAAAGGGAAATTCGAAACCACATTCAGTGCGTTGGGAATCCCTGCAAAAGAAAAATAAGGCATGAAAAATTGCAGCAGCAAACTCCAAAGGCAGTATATACCACCCAGTAGCCAATCAATAAACAGCTGACATGAAAACAGAACTGGCAACACTGACTTCAAAATACAAGATAAATCTGATTTTACATATTATACAATCTAAACTAAAGGTAATGAAGGGGTAAAATGTAAAGCAAGTTTACTGCTATTATCCGAATTATATCTTAATCGATTTATAGTAATTTATACTGTTACCTTTTTGACTAACTCTTAAACATTTAAGGCGAGAGCAAAATACATAATTCTTGTACGTGAGTACTAAACTTTTCAAATTCACTATGCTCTTCCACAGCCATATGAATGTGCAAAAACCAATTTTCAGATAGGAGGAGCTAACACTTTACTTAAGTGAAAATCAGACACGGACAATTCAGCATATAACAGAGAGAACACAAGCAATCTGCTGCTTGTTCTGTCCTCATAAGTATCTGCTGAAAACCATCTACAATTTGTTGTTCTTATTTTTCTCTGAACTTAGTTTAATCATATTGTCAAAGCTAATCTCGGAACTCTCAACTCGCACTGAGAAAATCATCATAACCATCATCACTTCGACGTGTGAATGGATCAGAATGGCTATAGGTAGTAAAGAGTAAAGGTTAAAACGTATGTAGGACTAATTGGAAATATACAAATGTCATTGGCATTCAACATACAGAAGTTGCATACAGGTACCAAAGTACACCCAGTGGCGGAGCTCGAAGGCGAGGTATGGGTTCGGCCAAACCCAGTAGGCAGTAGCTTTAGTCCAAACCTTATATTTTTATTAAGAAATCCACTAAATATATACAAAAATTAAATTCAGAAACCAGTTATTAACATGTGATGTCCGCTATCCTAGAATAAAGTTCTAAATTGGCTCCGCCTCTGAATAAGACCACCATAGTGATCCCCGAAACAAAAGGACAAATTGACTTAACCATATTAGCAAACTGAATATAAGTTCAACACTCTGGAGCAACAGTGAACCGACACTTAAAGCAACAAAAACCGGTTCATAAATCATGACCTAGAACTGGAACAATATCGCAAATTGAAAGCTAAATATCCAAATTTTAAAGAGAGAAAAAAACATAGATTAATAATGAATATGCGTATACCCAAAAACTGGCGTTGATCAGCAAAATTGTGATATTCTTGAGACTGAGGAATTGCTGGAGTGACGATCATTAGCACTATGAAGCAGAAGATTGCAACTACCCATGCCCACACAGTTCTCTTCCTCATTATTTTGCGTTCGCGTGCCCTAATTGTGATGAAGCTCAATTTCTGCTCAGAGAAGACTTCGATTTTCAGGTGATCGTTTTTCAACGGAAGGAAACTTACCCCGCTCTGTCATTTGATTTTCAGAAACGGGTTTACTTTCGGTTTTAACCCAAATGTTTGCTAATGGAAAATTATTTTCAGAAAATATATTTTGTAAATTAGTAATAATGTTGACAAATCAGATAGCGTATTGATTAAAATTTTAAAGTATTGATTTTTAATAATATATAAGTATTAGATGGTGTGCTAAAGTTAAATGTTAAGACATTAGCAATACGTTGATGTTGGGTCTTGCTTACAACAAAAGTCATCGTATTAAACATTTACGATTTAAATTTGCTATTAAACTTGTGGCATACTCAATAATTACGAATGCATATAAAGTAATATTGATTTTAATAATTTCATAAAAAGTTAAGGAGATATTAACTCACAAAATATAATAGCAGAGTTTATTTTGAAAATTAAATTTGTGTGAAGGAAGATGTTTATTGGACACTCTAATTTGAATAAAGTCATCTCGACTATTTGATTATTGATAAATATCTTAAATAAAATAATTTCCAATAAAAATAGAAGAAATAACATTTTTTTTTATTTGCGAAAAGATTTTTACAAATATCTTATCTTTGTCTCTGCATTACTTGTTCAATCAATATTTGTGGAAATAAATATCAACCATTAACGTAAAAAATATTAATCAAAACTTCAATGCAATAAACTATCAAATTGTTAACTTTACTATTTGTTATACCCCATATCTTCGTACGTGAGAGTATTTCTAAGTCAATTGATGTAAGCTCATAAATGAGATCATTTTTGAAAGTGCATAAAGTAAGTTAATCATGTTACCTTGAACGTTACAAATCTTTAAGATCATGAATAACAAGCACCAAGAGGGTTGGAATGCTTAGAAGGTAAACGAAAAATAAGTTTCGTCGAAAGTCAATAAGTTTGGAATGTTATAACATGCAATTTGGGGTGAGACTGGGGTTATTAACATGATAAGGATGTTATGTTATGAGTAATTCTAGACTTATGATAGTTGTGTGTTACGTTTTGAAGTCAAGCGAGCTGTGGAACAAAAGTTAGCAATGGTCATCACAAGTTACATTCATAAATGTGCTGAAAATTAGGTCAAATGTAGCGGAGTGTTTCTCCCAATATACTCGAATAACGGGATGACTCACATATCAAATTGACGATCTACGAGTCTATTTTCTAACTCGTTAAACTGTTCGTCGATAGGACATCAGAGTTGAGAGATATTTGCACTTTTCGCGAGACTGCGCATACTACATAGGTGACAAGTAGGTGTGTCACTAAAGCTTTTTGAGCAATACATTTTGTGTGTTATATGAGGTCTTTTTGGGACATATTATATACCAAATTTAAGGTATTGGAATATAGTTTCCAATGCTCTTATCTGTTCATTCATACGACATCCGGATAAAAAGATATAAGCGTCGGAAGATAGGCCAATGCTAGGGTGCCAAGCTACCACCTCTTTGACTTTTCCAAAGTTGATATATATAGGTCTTAGGCCGTCTTTATCTTCATTTTTCTATAGAAAACGACTAGACAACATCCATAAACATATCCATAAGCTCTCTTCTAGGGTTTCAAAGAAGATTAATATCCCAAGTATGAAATCAAGAAGCGTTAACATTAGAACGATCCATACGATGTAAGTATCGCTATATCGCCTCTCTTTTTCTTTATAGTTTGAGTTTTGGAAGGTACTTCATAGTTAAGAAAATGTCTACTTTCTGTATTTAAGCTTTAAATATCAAGGAAGGTTGATAAATTCGTTTCCTAATAGTTAGAATTCACGGGACAGTGATCGGAAGCCGTGAGTTCAATTTATTTTACTTTTAGTGGACTGTTTTGTAGTCCACTCGTGTTGGCCTATTGTGCTACCGAGGAGTTTGAAAGCAAAAAAAGGCATGGAGAAACGGCATATGTGGTAGGGTAGTAGGCTAGTCGGTCGTCGTTGCAATTTCAGGCTAATTGATAACTTGTTGATTGGGTGTGTTATGGTATAACTGACAACTAGTAGGCTAGAGTTGCTAATTGTATTATGTTTGTATCTCGCCTATATTAGGCTTGAGGGAGCAGTAAAATCAGGGGAAATGCTGCCATTTTATTTTAGAATCGAGTTATCGTTTGAGATACATGATATAGTAGCGTCATGTAAGTTGTAAATGTATTTCTTTGTTATAGGGTTGGTGCACTAGTTGTCATATGCTTGTTGTTGAGTTGCATTAATGACTTGAGGTATGTTTAAGGCTATCCCTTCTTTCCTTTTGTCATGATCCATATGATACAACAAAACGAGCAAGCACGCAACTTTCACAAATGATTTTATTCTTAGAAGTGCTAGGGTTGCCTATGTTGTTGATTCCCCATGTGTCCTACTATCATATTGTCTATTCATGGGTCTCATGACATTCCGAGAGATCTTCTTGACTTACTTCATTATGCATTGCATTCATTTATACATGTATATTGACCCATGCCCAGATAGCGTTATACACGCGTATAGTATATGTATATGGGGCATGTGGAAAGGTTATGGCGTTATATACGCACCACCACCTGATCAGTTGGTATACGTTGATGATTTTGCCCAATGAGGCCGAGATGATATGATGGGATGCCCTCAGAGGCTTGATGACGTTATGTAAGCATATACCTATGCATGATATGACATTTATACGCTCATGCATGACATTATAAATGTTTCATGATTTACATAGCTATTCAGATTTACAGGTTGAGTCCTTTACTCCATGTTTCTTTCATGTCTTTTATATACTGCTTTTCATGTCTTACATACTTGGTACTTTATTTGTACTGACGTCCCTTTTTATAGGGACGTTGCGTTTTATGCTCGCAAGTCCCGATAGATAGGTTGACAGTCCTCCTAGTAGTCTATTAGCTCAACGGAAGGTGTTGGTGCACTCCACTTGCTCAAGAGTTGCCTATTTGGTCAATATGCTTTGGACATGTATATATTGGTATGGCAGGGCCCTGTCCCGACCTTTATGACGTTTATGTACTCTTAGAGGCTTGTAGATATGTGTCATGTATATGAAGAATTGTATGGCCTTGTCGACCTATATTTTGAGTGTACAGTGATCATGTCGGCCTTATAGTGTCGTATGTCACATGTATAAGTTTGTATTCCATGTTGGGTCGTCCTATGTCAAGTATTCCCTTATGTTCTATGTGTGTTATAACATGACGGCCCTTCTGGCCCACTTAACCATGATGGTATGATAAGAAAGATAAGTTACGTTGGTACTCGGTGGAGTAAGGCACCGGGTGCCCGTCGCGGCCCTGCGGTTTGGGTCGTGACAGAAGTTTATTAGTCATGATAGGTGCCACTTCCTTATGGAGTGAATACAATATTGTAGTGAGATTGTTGTTATAAGATCATTTCTTCTTCAAGTTATCAGTGGTAGACTATAATTCAACATTGAGGCGAATCAACAATGGATGGATAAAAGTTACAAATTATGAGATGAGATTAGGTTGTCATTCTTAAGATGAACAGTAATAAGGAAGCATTAAATAACTTAGATTTATATATATATGATAAGCAGCGAGAGAGTAACCTGGATTTGGGTAGCAGATGTTATATCTCGCATTTTCATACGTTAAAGTTTCGTCGTAAGTTAAGCGACGTAAGTTAGAGAATGAGGTTATTTTGGGACTATAAGCATTATGCTATTTCAAACACGTGATGAGTAAATTCATGAAGGAGAGAGGGTAAGCAAATAGGAGAAAATGTGTTTTGTCGAAGTTTGGCAATTTGGGATAAAATACGGTCCAAGCTATAATACCCCCTATTTATGGACTAGTGTCACACAAGGTACTACATGACCATGATAGTAAGATGTATAAGGTATGTTAAAAGTGAGTAGTATTTTAAGTAAGTTAAGGTAATTCTTAATTATTTGGGTAATTGATTAATTATTGGATAATGAAAGATTACCTAGTTAATTAAGGATTATTGGGTGATTAATTAAAAAATTGGATAAGATTAGACCATCTCCCACGTGGCAGCAAGCCACCCCAAGAATTGTGACTCTTAAGTTATTATATTATGTGGCAAGATTAGAAATGTGAGATTTGGCAAGTCTTAAGAATGTGAGTCACATATCCATTTAATAAAGAAGGGCCATTGTAAGTCTTAAGAACGTGAGTCACATATCCATTTAATAAAGAAGAGACATTGTAAGTCTTAAGAACATGAGAGTCATATAACTATTCTTAAGAACGTGAGAGTAATATATCAGAACGTGAGATTGGGCAATTATAAGGAAGTACGGTGCAATATTTCTCAAATATATCATACGGATTGTTACCTATTTTGATCTCGCCGTTACGTGTTTCATTGCAATTAACGTGTGTTAGAGGGATTGTCAAGAGAATCGACTCATGTATGTTAAGGCTATCCCTTCTTTCCTTTTGGCATGGTCCATGCGACACAAACGAAACGAGCAAATGTACAACTTCCATAAATGACTATATTTATAGAAATGCTTATATTCTTGATTCTCCATAAGTCTTATTATTTATCGTCTGTTCATGGGTCTCATAAAATACGTAGTTGATAAAGTCTATTTCATGATATTAATCAGAGGCATAATGGTCTTATAACACTTCAAAAGATTTTATTGACGTACTTCTCATGCATTGCATTCATTTACATTGACCCATGACCAGATGGTGTTATATATGCGTATATATTTGTGTGTGTGTGTGTGTGTGTGTGTGATATGGGAAAAGGTTACGGCGTTATATACGCACCACCACCTGATCAGCTGGTATATGTTGATGATTTTGCCCCCAGTGGCAGAGATGATATGATGGGATGCCCTTAGAGACTTGATAAGGTTATGTACACCTATACCTATGCATAACACGACAATTACACGCACGTGCATGACATTATAAATGTTTCAGGATTTATAAAGTTATTTATACTTACAGGCGGAATTCTTTATTCTATGTTTAATCTATGTCTTTTATGTACTGATTTTCATGCCTTACATACTCAGTACATTATTCATAGTGACGCCCTATTTCCCGAGGCCTGTGTTTCATGCCCGCATGTGCAGG